TAACCCTCACAACCTCTGGGCATGGGTTCTGGAAAGTGTAGCACAAAGATACCTGTGTGCAGATGATCTTTATATGCAGCAGACCCAGTGGAAGACTACAGAACAAGGAATCCAACGTCTGAGAGAAATGGCAGTGGCAGAGATTGTCTTCTCAGAAGAAATAACAACTAGGAATCCAGACTTGGTACCATGCATATTTGTGATGTGGCGAAAACTTGGACAATTTGGGCCACATGAATACGCTTCTGCTTTAGCAATAATGAAGCGGGAGGAGAGGGATGAGACCGTGCTCGACATGGCAAGGAAACTCCAAGCATATGCAGATGCTGTACATGGCCCAACACATGCCAGAATTGCAGCAGTGGAAACACGTCTGCAGAGATTACAAGACAAGATAGAGGAGAATCACAAGAAATTCACAGAGGAGATGAAAGAGGACCTGTAAATCTCAGCAGTACAGATCAGAGGTTCTGGTATCCAACGTAGACGTTCCTCAGACGGGGAGAGAAGGTACACCCCAAGAGCTGAGCTGTGGTTCTTCCTGTGCAATTGCGGAGAAAACATGAGGAGAAGGGACGGAAAATCTACTGCTGCTCTGGCACAACGGGTGCATGAATTGAAGGAAGGCAAGACTCAGAGAGGAAGTGCCACCAAAAAGAGGGCAGCTCCAGTTGCCCGTAGCCAAACTGCCAGGTGTGATGATGATGATGATGACATGTCTGATTCCCTTAAGGAACCTCCAAGACATACACCCAAGCAAAGAAGGATAACCAGGCTTGGAGGGACCCTGCCTCTAGCCAGGGAGAGGTGAGGGAAAACCATTATCTTTTGGACTGTGTGGATTCATTAGCCTGGCCCATGAAAACCACAAAAATATGAGACCTCGGTCAACACTGGTGCGCAGTGCAGACTAATCCCACTGAGACATGTGGAGGCAGAACCTGTTTCTCTTGCTGGCATGACAAGGGGATCACAGGATTTGACTTTGGTGGAACTTCCTCTCTTCCTTCCAGAAGCAGTTGCTAATGCAGCTGGTATGTTATTTGCTATTTTTATAGTCTTTTTAACAAAGACAGTACCTCACTAATTCTTCAGAACTAGCACTGAAGCTTCAGCATCCCCAAAATTAGGTTAGCCAAACTTGTTTTGGTAAAAAGAACAGCGCTTCATACTTAAGTAAAACACTGTGTGGGCGGAGTGTAGCGAATCCTGTATTTCACAATATTTTAACTCAAAACCCAGCTGCAGTAAAATTTCAGCTTGCAAAACCCAAAACTGTAACCACAATGAAGTGTGACAAGTTTCAAGGCTAAAACAAAATACAGTTCATTGTGCCAACTATTCAGAGCTGCAATGATTATCAACCCCCCAAATTTCACACCCTCCCACTTCAACATGAAAAATGTTGGACACATAGAAGCAAAGAACTTGATGAAGTATAGTAGTTGTGATTTCTAGCTGTGTGTTAATTAGTTTAAGCCTTTTATTCTTAAATACCTTATCTCACTACTTTGATAGCACCAGAGAACCTCCTTAAGGCAGATATTTATATTTACATTATGCACTTAAAACAGGCTCCTCTGCCAACAGCCTATGCTACCAGACAGCCAAATTCAGATTTTACCTCTCCCCGTCAATTCTATATGGAGTCTGAAATTAAATTATTTACTCTACTTGCCTGCCATTGGTCTCAAGAAGATTAAGATCTGATTAAACACAATGTCCTGAATAAAAACAGGAGAACATCACAGCTCTCACAGTGTTCCAGATTTGTGTACCACCACCTGAAATCAAAGGACTCCACACAAAAAGCTGAAATACGAGTAAGGACTGTCTGTTGTAGGGATCTTTCCACCTAGGAAGGAGCCGTGTGCAAAAAGAAGGGGGAAACATGCAGAGATGATGACATTCTACTATCAGTTCTCACAGTTTAAAGCTGCAGAAGTCCAAACATTCGACATGGATCTCAAAGCCTCAGCCCTGAGACAACTTATAAATGAAATCAGGTTTTTCTTTGGAGGAAGTGTTACGAAAAGTCAACTCTCTGCCTAAATCTGACAAAAGGCAACTCAAAAACAATTTTTAAGTTTGGATGTTTACATCAACCAGCTGGTGTTGGATTACTTGGCTTTGGCAATACTATGAAAATCAAGTTCAGGCAGGGCTAGTGACAAGAGAGATCAGAACCCCAGCTCATGGAATTAAAGTCAATGCTACACAAAGTCTGTACAGAGTTTTTTCATCTCTGTGATACAGGTAAGCAGCTGGCTCCCCATACTCTACTGAAAACATCTCCACTTGAGTACTCCCTGCTTCCTAGGTGGTTTATTCTGCTAAATTGCCTCATTGAAAAAAAAAAAAAAAAATCCCGTTTTTATTTGTATTTTGGACATTAGTACTTTGACTGGCAGAAGAGGAGAGGGAGGAAGTCACATGCCCTAAGTACCACAGGCATTCTGCATTAAGATGCTGCAGCCATCTGCATGATTTTGAAGAAGAGCAGAACAGCAGTGTCAGAGAGGCATGGGATTAAGAAACAGGGGTAGGTCAAAGTTAGTCAAGCACTGCCATAGGCACTGAAATGAAACACAGGCGAGTGAACATTACAAACACAGATAAGCTCCCTTGTGCCTCTAAGCTGTGGCTGGAACAGCAATGGCAGGAGAATATGTCAGTGGTGGTAGCAGAAGTCAAAAACAGTGACTTCAACACAGACCAGAAGGATCCTGCACCCACAGGCAGTGTCTGCAGGGTCCTGGCACTCTCCTTGGAAGTGCCCACTCTGAGAAGATGCAGCGATAAGGTTACTACAGTGTTCAAGGCAAAGCAACCAACACTGCCACAGGTGAAAGACATTCAGAAATCCACTGCAAGGAGGCCACAGAACTAGGCCACCCACCTGATTCAAGCTGCAACCTGCTCAAAAATGTGAGTCTGACCCAGACAAGCTGCTCTTATCTGTCTCACAGGTGAAAGTAAACACCTGAGATAGTAGGACGCAATTTGATTGTGGCAGGGAAAAAACATCTGCTTTAATAAACTCCATCAGGAGTAGGAGTCTGTACCACCAAACACACACAGACCCAGAACCTCCACAACAGCTGCATGGAAAGTGGTATTAAGATCTAAACTCTACCTTTCCATCCACCACATGCAGGACACTTGTACCATTTAACTGGGTGGATTACAGCAAAAAAAAAAAAAAAATATACAGACTGCAATTAATTAAAAAGAACCCGAACGGCCATTTTGAGAATTAAAACTTTTATTAGTGTATTCACATATTAGGCAAATGCAACACGCATGAAGCTTAATCTCTTAGGTCCACAAGTTCTACCAATACATTAGTCTACTGGTAAAACTAGCACAAACTGGTAACTGCTTTGCCAATTTTTTAAAGGAGTCTGGCCCATTTTCTCAAGGCTTGATTTTTGGTATTGCTTCTATGCCCTAGTCATTATGGCATAAAAATATCCATCACTATCATCAATTCAGTCAAGTGATTAAAAGCTGTAACACTGGCCACATTTTTGTTCTCAAAGCTAAGTTATCACTAGCTGTACTTACAAAGTACAGGACTAGTGTAATTGATGAAACAATGGAAAAAAACAAACAAAGGCAATCCTGCTACTGCCACAATAACAAAAGAATGACAGACAGCTAGATCACAAGATTGTTAGTAAGATGTGTATTTTTCAAGTCAGAATAACCCTTCTATACAGTTTCCCAACCCATCCCCAACCCAGACTTATTTGTAGAATATAATTCAGAATAATTTTAATATGGTGCAGCTGTAGTGTCCAAGGGTTCACAATAACATGCACTGTCATGAAGAACATGGAAGTCCTCCTTCGCTGGTCATACCTCAGCAACCACTATTCTAGAGGTTTTGCAGAAGCAACTACTTTTAATAACAAGGCCCATTATGACATAATGAATGTATATGATCTGGTGTGTAAGTAAACTATAAAAGCGACTCAGATAAGAAATTTAAATTCCGTTACTGAAATATGTTAAGAAGCTGCATCTATTTAAAACCTAAACAAAGAGTCTAGCTTACCCCGGGAAATAATTTTTCAAGGTATATGGCTCTGAAAACTAAACCCCATTATTTTTAGTGACATATGAAAAAGTGAAAAAAATACAGATGATAAGGGGTAAGACTTACTCAATGAAAAAAAAAAAAATACAGATGTAAGCCAATAACCTTGTGCAGTTAATCCAATATCTAAAGCCATGGTAAATTCTCAGTGCATGAGAAAAAATAATTCATTTCAATGACCAAGGTACAAAAAAGTCCCAAATTACACCACTGCCAGCAATACTGCTGGCAACAGATGCATCAACTCAAATGGGTATCAAAAAGTAGACTGCTAGTGTGATGGACACTCAGAATTTATAATATGAATTAATTTTAGGCCCCATTAAGTAAATAAAGTGTCTTAAGACTTCACAGATCAATCTCAAGACATTTCTTTCCCTTCCAATGGAGGGAATTTCTCTTAAGAACGCAGCAAAAAATTCAGTTTTTCTATAAGGAAAGTCTTTTTATGTTTAGGACAACTTGAAAACCTACTTATATTAAAAAATATAAAAGAATAAGGGAGCAAAGTCTTGAAATTTCATGAGACACTTGCCCCAATCAAAAAACCAAAATTACCATTTATGGGAACTAAAATGTAGAACAGCACAATACTGTGATATTTGAGATCATGAAACATTATTTGTATATATACTTAGCTATTCATGTTATTGATAACCATTAGGACACTCAATTATATACCCAATAAAAAACACCATTAAAGAGTCTTTAGAACTGTCCCTTCTTTCTGAAGAAGGCTTTTCTATACACTAAATTTTCATCTAGTATCAGAGTATAGGAAACAGAATCCACAAGGTGCTTTAACTGATGAGACCTCAAGTGCTGTTTTTTCTTTTTTCTTTTCTTTTTTTTTTTTTTTNTTTTTCTTTTTTCTTTTTTTTTTTCTTTTTAAAAAACCTTTTTAGATAGTAAACAGTTCATGGGGACCACACACAAATACTACGACAGACGAGCTGTTATATTAAGTCTGTTGACTGAACTTGATTTTCAGCCCACTGGTGACAGAGGAGAGTTTTAGGACATGCTGGAGCAGCGAACTGAAGGGGAGCCCATCTGAGTCAATACTTTGTCCAGCCACTGTAGAGGCCCGTTCAGGTGAAGCTCAATCCAGCAAGGAGTGCTCGTTACCGTCTGCCGCCTAGAAAACAAAGAACAGGGAAAAGTCACTCCACTGGGTTGGTGTCACCAGGTTTTGGTAGCAGGGGAGGCTTCTGCCAGAAGCTGCCACAAGCTTCCTTCATGTCTGGCAGAGACATCCTTTGGCAGCTCTGAAGGTGGACATGCTGCTGGTCAAGGCTGGGCCCATGAGGAATGGTGATGCCTCTGGGATAACAGATTAAAGAAAAAAATGAGATTGTTACCCAGTTTTAATTGCCACAGAAGAGCAGGGTGAGGACGAGTGAGAGGAATAACTCTGCAGACACAAAGGGCAGTGGAGAAGGAGGGGCAGGGCAGATGTTCCAGGTGCCAGAGCTGAGATTCCCCTGCAGCACATGGGGCAGCACATGGGGCAGCCCATGGAGAGGGCCACATTTTTGCTCTGAAAGCTAAGTTATCACTAGTTGTACTTATAAAGTATGTAAGTACATCCCTGTGGAGAGGGGAGCCCATGTTGGACAGCCTGTCCTTGAAGGACTGCACCCCATGGAAGTGTGATCCACATTGCAGCAGTTCATGGAGAGTTGTTGCCCATGGGATGGACTCACACTGGAGTTCATGTAAAACTGTCTCCCACATTGGGGCAGGGGAAGGACTTGACTTCTCTCCCTGAGCAGTGGCAAGAACAACACCTGAAAAACTGACAATGACATGCATTCCTACCTCCTTTTGTAGCTGGGGGAGAAGGTAGAGCTGACAAGGGGCAAAGGTGTTTTAGGTCTTATTTTATTATCTTGCCCTGGTTATGTTAGCAATAAATTAATTCCATTACTCTGATTCAAGCCTGTTTTCCCAAATGGTATTTGGCGAGGGTCTCTCCTGGTCCTTATCTCATGACCCTTTTGCTCTGTTTTCTCTCCCCAGCCCAGCTGTGGACAGGAGTGAGAGAGCTACTTTGGTGGCTGCCTGGAATCCAGTCAGAGTCAACCCACTGTGGCAGGTTCAGCTGCCATGAAATTCTGCATCACATGATTAAATATGTTTCCATACATATCTAGTAAATAGAGATAAAAATCTGTAACCATTACCATAACTGTTACTAAACTTTTTCCAGGAAAAAAAAAGTCCCAGAACTCCAAAGCACTTCACATATGTAAGACAAATCAATCATTACATGCTTGTCCACAAATACATGAAGAATATTTCTCCCTGGAGAATAATAACACAAGTATTTCCTTCAAGAGCCACACCAAGAGTCTTACTTCTAAAAAGAAATTCAGAAGTGAAGGCTGTCCAACTGATACAGTGTTCACACCACAAACAACTGTGTGCAGCTGTATCTCAACTTTTAAAGGGTCTGTACGCATAACTAGATTTGAATTTTGTAGACAAGTACTGAGAAATATGGGACAGAAACCCTCACATATGGGATAGAAAACCTCACATGCCATTGAATATGGGACAGAAACCCTCCCCTTGGCTCTGCAGTGTCAGCGTGACCAACAATGCTATGGTGATCATAAACTCTGGCTTTCTGGAGTAGACTACATCATAAATGTACAAGGAAATTGGTAGATGTTGTCAGAAACACTATATCAAAACATGGTGTGTGGTTATACTGTGCTACCTGATGGTATCTCAAAGGAACACCAAACTTTATCTCTGATTTCCTGTAATCTTATACTTCTACATGTGTTTTGCACTATAACACCCTCACACAAACAACTGAAGTAGAAATAATGTTTCCCTTGTCTTTTATACTAATTTGCCTATAATTTTCCACAATAGAAGTCCTTATTTAAACACCATATAGCAAATTTCAGTGAAGTTGAAGGACTGACAACCATAAAGGCTTCATTCTCTCTCCCATATACCTTTGTTTCACAGATCTGTTATTCAAATGTCTTCCTTCTCATCTCCAAAGTAAAGAAATCAGTATTGGACAAGCCTGAGAAATCCTATTTCACTGCACCCACTCTAGGCATGAGAGTTTTCCGCAACCAGACTGGCAAGACTATGGTTGCTAAGCCAGTTTTTCATAGTAATTCCAGCTATCCCAAGATTCAAAGGCAGCAGATTAGTCAGACACAAACCGAGCTCCTTCATTTTTACTGTCGGCACTGCAGTCCTTTGCTTTAAGGAAATCTGTTTATATAAACAGAGGAATTGAAAAGGCAGAAAGATTAAGATGGCGAAGATTGATTTCAAAAGTTTCACATTTTCTAGAAGACAGCAGCTGGGGTCTGTGCTCTTTCAGCACTCTACAAAACAGTTATCTTAGCCCCAAATTCTATGCCAGAACAAAGTGATACAACAGAAAAACAAATCTAAACCACAGGAAATATAGTTCCATTTACTCTTGAATCTTCTCCCAAAGAAGGAAGTTCATTATCCCACCACTGTCAACTCTCCTACAATGTGTTTCACAACACAATTCCTCAAAATTTTACAGCTGGTTCTCTTCAACAATCCTCCCTTTACACCACACTGGTAAAAGCTGGTAAAATAGTGACAGTCACTAAGCAACCATCTTAAAGCTAAAGACTCAGCTTCTTCAGCCCAAAGATTTCCAGTTCAAAGATCACTAATTGCCTCTGCTGAGCTTTCTTTAGAAGTTGATCCTGGGCCTGGATAGTTCCTGTGCTAACATGAACATTTGACTGGTGATCTGAACTTCTACCATCCCAATCAGTTTGGGTCAACAAGTAACAAAGCAAAAAGCTTTGTCAGGTATTGTGTCTACCAAGCCTATGAAACATTATCACCTTGCTGTACCTGCACATTTATGCACATATGCTTAAAATGCAACTAATGCTTTGCCTTTGCCTAAGCCTGTTCTATGAGAAATGTTTTTTTCACATAATAATAAGCACAGATGTTTTAACAAGAGTGATGGGGTTTACAGTGTTTTCTGATCCATTTCAACAAGTCAGGCTACATTAATTTAAATTCAAGGTTGTGTCATTGGAGCCACCTCTTCTTGCTCTAATCCCAACTGCAGGATATTTGCAAGCTTTGTGTATCAATAATTTATTAGTATCATCTTAAAGAGAGGTGCAAAGAGATTAGTTCAGCATGAGTTAGAACCAGTTTTTGTGCTGTTTTGGCAGTGCTACCATTGCAGTTTTTTCAATCCTATGGTCTATAAACAGTTTAATGACCAACTACCAACATTTTCCCACTCAAAAGTAACTTTAACAAAAGCCTCCCCACAGTTTTAAACTAGCACTTACACTCACTTCAAGATGCCTCTATATAATCTGACTGATTAAGCCTTTCTTCTGCTCAGATTTGAATGTTGTATTTAATTATGCCTAAGTAATATATCCTCCTGCAGAGCCAAATCCAATAGCTCTTTAAACCTGAGCCAGATTGTTTCTTGGGTACTTCTTCCTAACAAAGAAGTACCAATTTATTCCATTACTCAAATTTCTCATTTCATCTCATTAGACTACTAAAAAATTGGCTTCATCTAGCTGAGAAACCTCCCCCACATACTGATACTGCTACTACATGTATGTATTTCAAAAGCAGATAAAGGAATCAACACAAGTGGAGCCTACACACCAGTATTCAACTTCAGAAATTATATGGCTTTAAAAAAAATCATTATTGCATTAGGGTATTGACATGTCAGACTTCATTCTTTCAATGGACAGTTTCTAGAGAGTTTAAGAGATTAGTTTAAAACCACAGGTCTAGCTCTCCAAAGTAATAAAATCTTTAGAACTGCTAAGTTAGAAGTCAATTTCTTTTCTTCTTGAATTTCCATAGTGCATTAGAAACAGGCAATGTCCTCAACTACCACTTTTCATTTGTGCTAATAGAGAACACAATTGGAATCTCTTCAAAAGCAGATAGAACGCTATTTTTTTCCACTCAAATAACTGTTTTTAGAAGTTTTACTACATAAACACAGTCATCTTACTCCTGCAAAGCTTTTTCCACTGCAAGTTCCAAAATACTTGCCATCCCCTAGATGCATGCTCTCCAGCTATTTCATTCTGCAAGAGCCACTGCAAGTCTCTCTGTTGGGTACCACCAAGCCCATCCTGCAGCACAGCCTAAGGAACTCATGCTACATGCAGAACAGGGCAGAGACCTGAATGACTGGAATGACTGCAAGTCTAACACAGCAAATAATCTCACGGCACAAACTGTGGAAATTCAGGATGATGGTGTGGATTTCACCACAACACGCAAGCCAGAGGGACTGAGCAAGGGAACGGAACTTTGACGACATTCCTTGCTCAACAGTTGGCTTCAATGCAACACTAAAATGAGTTTATAAATGACTTTGTAAATTAGCAGTTCCATAGCTGAGGGCGGGGGGGAAAAAGAAAATATGGGTTCAATTTGCAGATAGCATATCCACAATAGCAGCAAGAAGTGTGTACGTATAGCTTTCAAGCCAGACAGAAATGGTGTACTAGTGAAAGAACAAAAACTATTAACTCTAAATTTAAGAGCAAAGGGTTTTTTCCTTACCTGTATTCAGCCCCCCATCCTTTAACAAAGCTCATTCTTATGGTACACATTCTAGTAAGTTGATAAACTGCTTCAAAGCCCTGATTCACAGACTGAGCCAGAAGAGCAGCAAATTCTTGGTTATTAAAGATTTTTAGATTGCATCCTATAAAGAATCAAAAAGGTACAGTCAGTGAATACAACTGCATTTGCTACAGAGAAGCCTGAATCTATGAAGAAATTACAAAAAAGGAAGGCAAGTGTCATCCAGTGAATACCTCCACTGGGTATTTTGACAAGAGACCTCTGGTAGGCTACTGACCTGGAGGAATTTTGCACACAGTTGCAGGATGCCAGCCGTATCTTTGATTACAGTTGGGGCTCTGAACGAAGATTGCGCTATCACTCAGGCACTCAGCAAAAACTTCCCCACCAATGTAATACAGGCGCACTCCCCTGCCTGTAGTGAAATCAAAAGGAGCTCTAGTTATGGTGTGATACAAACAGATTAGGGAACAAGGGAGTTTATTTTCCAGAGAAGGCCAAGGTCTTTCTTTACCACAGAAAAAGAAATCAATTATCTACACGACCTCATTGCTGTGCTGACAGTTGTAGCAGGAGCAGAACACAATTAAATTGCATTTTTCTCCCACAAATGCTCAATATATGAAGGCAAAGCAGAATAATTTTTGGTCAAAAGTGAAAAAGCCTTTTCCAGCCATATAATGGGTTGTAACCAAATCCAAGCTTAGAAGCAGTGTTCATAAGAACAGAATTAAAACTTGTCCTAATATTAAAGCATTGTATGTGAAGCAGCACAGGTCATTATGGTCAAAAGAGAAAACACAAGATCACCACTGCAACACTCTCTGCTTACATGCACCCACACTATTTCACAACCCACTGCACACCCTTGTACTGCTTTAACAAAAACAATATGACTTCATTTAGCCTTATTACAAAAAAATATCTGTGAAAAAAAATCAGAATTTTCAACAACTTAATGTTATTTGTTCTGTCTCTCTGAGTGGAAAACAGATCTGCATGGTTTATTTCTAGCAGAAAGTAAATAATGTGCAATTGATCTCCCAGAGAGAACTATTTATAATTAACAGGTACTTTGGAGGCCATAGTTTCCATTCGCCTTTTTAGTTAAAACAATTTTTCAAACAAAATGTGAGCTCCCTCTATTAAAGAATAAGGACTCATGAGATTTTTGCTTTTTCTCATCATTGATCATTTTGACCAGTCAGCACAGGCACAGCCTGGGTTTCTGCACATCTAAAAATTTATTAGACAAGCATTTGGATTTGGCATTTGGACTTGGCATAAAAGGAGTCGGTTCTACAGAAGAGGCTGAAGTTTTACTGCAAGTAAAAATAACAATAACAACCAAAAAAATCTCGTAAATGTTGCTAATGAAAGTATCCAGGGAAAAAAAAAAAAGAATGAAGGTAGTTTACTGAAGAATCCTAAGTCAAGTCACTGCATTGTGGAAAACAACATTCTTGACTAACCATTACAAAGAAAACTTTAATCATGTCAAAACAATGGGTTCTCAATAGCAGCTTTTCCCATTTCAGAAAACAATTCAGAATTTCATTCCATCAGTGTCCATTCTGCATTTTATAAATTACAATAAACTAAGCAACATAGGAATACTTTGTAATTAAAGCTTAAATTTCAGTTACAAGCAATTCTGAATATAAATGCTGCCTAAGGCAGAGTGGACCATTGAGGATGCTGGGAGCCATGAATCTGCCCCCGGGGTGCTTTGGTGCACCATCATTTTCCAGAAGGCAAGAACAGCAAGGTGAGCACAGGAGTGCCAGACACTAGAGTGGCTTTCTCCTGTGCTGCTCTGAGTGTGACAGCTGTGTCACTGCAGCTGCCACCAGCTACGGTGCTATGGAGGGAGGAAGGGCAGCTCCTTTCAACTCTAGCCATTGCTACATCACCTTCCAGTTCCAATGGGCTTCAGCAGCAGAAGCTGCTATGTTTCTCCCTAATTTCAGAAGCATCTGTGTCTTTCCACTTCTGTTCTCAGCCAGATGAGACCAAACTATCCTTGACAAGCCCTGAGAGATACGGCTGATGGCTGGCTGCACAAGGATGAAAGGAATCCAACACACATCCTACCTGCATCATTCCAGATAATTTAACTAACAAAATTAAATTAAATAGTTAAAAGATCAGAGATCTTTACCTATATGTCGCCTTGTCATTTCCACTGTAGCATTTCTGTTTACATTGGAAAGCAGACCTAGACAAAATCGCTCTGAATTTGATGGATCTGTAAAGCCATCTACAGTCAGGGAAGGCTGAGACGCATGGAAGGTTTCTCCCACTCTTTGATTCAATTCATAATATGCTATTGAACACCAAAACGCAGGCTCCGAGTAAGTAACTGGTTGCAAGTCTAAAAAAAAATTTCAAAAACCAAGCTTAACACAGATTTTAAGGCTGAAAGTAGATCAATGTACCCTGCTATATGTCTCTTCCAGAAAAGGCAGCAGTAGCCTCTTCAAACTACTCAAACTATATTTTGCTTGCTGTCCTTTTTACCTACTTCAGTAAATAGAATGGAATTCAATCTTCCACACAAGAGAAGGAGGAGGGGAAGAAGGGATGATCTAATCTGACCACAGCTCATTTAGTTCAGTACTTGCATTTTGCTCAGCAAAATGATTTAGCTAATGGTGCTCTGAGCGCCAGACGCTGAGACATTCCTGTTGCCTTTTCTGTAGCTTGCTAACATTTTGGCAGCATTAAAGAAAAGATTAAACTATCAAACACTGAACAACAAAAAGGAAAGAAAAAATATGTTCTTTTGTATTACACTGTCTCTAGATAAAGGTAGTTCTAAGCTGCTTTATTGTCCCATACTAGAGAATCTTCCCTGTGTATCTTCAGGTTATTTTCTTCACTGCTTCCCTTTTTTACCTACCCTAATTACTTACTCAGCATTCTGCATTTTCCTGTCACATCCTGTCACCATTCCTTAAACAAACCCACAGCAATCTGATCTTCCTGTGGCACTTACACAAACACACAACTGTAGCCCTGGATCAAAGCAGGTGGGCTACTAATGTGGGAGCAACACTGTCCTGTGGTTACAGGTGAAACAGTACATGAGAAGAGCAGCAGAATACACACACAAGGGAGACAGCAAGTCTGGGCAGCATTATGGAGAGGCAAACATCCTTTTAAACTAATCATTTGATAAATGTTATTCCTGCATACACAAAGATATCACTCCTTCTCTTTGCTACAACTCCTTCTCTAGCTCAACAGGTACAGAAACAGAGTAATTGTTAACAAGTGATTAACCCAGCCCCATTATGTTTAACATCAGGAAGCCAACACAACAGTAACCTCCATAATATAGCTCCTAATTTCTTACAGCACATTTTCACTTTTAAAGTAATTACATATATAATGAAGAGTCACTGCACATGGAAAAATAATTGTAAGTATTTCCAACTTACCCAGGCTATGATTAACTGGAGAGAGAGTACTAGGAGACAGTTCTGCTGGAGATCCTGTTGAAACAAGACAGACAAGTTTCAGAGCAAATATTTTTTGCTATTTCAAATCATGAGGCATAACCATTATCTATCTCAGGTTTACACCGAAGTTTTTCAGAGTAAGAAACTTCAATTGTCTGGAATATCAGACATTTACTCTGAATTAGAATTCAATTTTCCAGACTTCTGGGTACCCACCCCTCCTTGTAAAGGCTCAATTAACTTAGCATTGTATCTGGCAGAACTCTGCTGCTTCGTGCACACTCTCAACGCTATTTATGCACTTCTCCAGTAAGAAGGCAGTGACTTCCCAAATTCAGTAAAAAAAACGGGGAAGAAAGTGTGGATGAGACAAACAAGACATTGCCTCTCTGTTCTCAAAGGAAAAGATTTATCTTGGAAAAGACCTTCCAGTATCTGAAGGCAGCCTTCAAGAAAGTTGGAAAGGGATTGTTTACAAGTGCAGGTAATGACAGGACAAGAGAGAGAGACTTCAAACTGAAAGAGGAAATATTTAGATTAGATATTGGGAAAAAAAAATTCTATGCTGAGGACGGTGAGGCCCAGGTTTCCCAGAGAAGCTGTGGCTTCCCCGTACCTTGAAGTGTCCAAGGCCAGGCTGGACAGGGCTAGGATCAACATGGGGTAGTGGAAGGTGTCCCTGGTGGAAAGAGACGGTCTCTAAGGCCCCTTTTATCCCAAATCATTCTATGATTTATGACTCTATGATCGCCAGAAAAGAGCAAGTCAGATTTCCTCATTTGAGGAAATAATTCTTTCCCAGAAGGAGGCATTTAAACACCCATAATAACATGAACTCTCCAACACAATTTGCACACAAGGTGGCAAAATACAGAAAGGCTTTCACAGAAACATTCCTACAGTGACTGCTGATGTCAGGCTGTTTTAATTAAGGTATTTATTGTCACACAGTGGGAAAATATTGCAGCTCTTACAGAAACTGGAGCAGCTGATCCCAACTTACTGAAAATGGTTGCTAACATTAGCTAACCAAGCTCACTCAAGCCTGCCAACACACAGCAGGAGGTTCTTACCCAGCACGTTAACTGTGCTTTGTCCAAGTCTAAGGTCAACCACATTATCGAGAAACCCTTACATAAAAATGGCACAAATGCTGTTACTTTTGCCACAGAACCTTCCACACAAGAATTAATTTGAAACATGGCACAAGTGGTAAGTTTGTCTGAATTTGAGACAGGTTCTCAGAACATAGATTGTCTGTACCTTGTTTAGGCCAACAGACATTGTGCTTCAATTAACCTGTTTGCCGGGGAATGGTTGAAACCAATTAGCTGTTAAAATCTATTTTAAGGGTTTCTGGTGAAGTCCTAATTAGACCTGTATGCTTCTGTTACAGAACAAACATACTTAATATGTCACAGAATGTTTTAGAAGCATTTCCCTGGCAAAAAATTGTTTGGTTCATTAAAGACTAAAAGTGGTATTTTAGGCATAAAACACCAGGTTTTACAGAGGAAAACTGTCACCATCTTTTGGGCTGAATTAATGCTCCTATGTAGAGGGATCACAGCTACTAATACAAAGCCTTGAAAGTGTCTAAAAATAAATGTTACCTGTATCCATGCTTTGGTTCAGCTGCTGGTCACTTGTTTCTCCATCTTCACTGATATATCCTGGAGGAGGTGTTTCTTATTAAAAAAAAAAAAAAAGAAAAATCCACCAATTTGTAAAATGACTAGGCAAACTTCTATAAGATCTAAGTCTTGTGCATTTTGTAATGACATCTTCATAAGCTCTTGTTACACCTACCTGAACACTGAATCTGAATGTCATTTTACTGTCCCCTTTTCCTTCAAGTAGGACTTCAAACAGGTTACCTGCCTTATTGGTATGTAAAATGTATCTTCTTTTGTATGTCAGTCAGTTGCTGAAATATGTTATATAAATACCAGAATCCTTGTTCCATTTAAGACAAAATGCTGTCACTACAATGAGTAACAATTTTGCAATTTGATCAACAGCTTTCATGTTTAGTAGAATTACAAATGAAGAAAACCATCTGGTGATTTCCACAAAAAAATAATGAGAGCTGTCTTTATGTAGGGTAACCATCAGATCAGATAACCCACCCACACCTTACTGAAGTTGTTTAAGATTTAAAGGTTGTTTTTCAGTTCAGTCCCCAAATATGTACTTCTTCCATACACAACAGCTGTTTTGACTCATTTATAACTACATTAACTTAGAACACTGCACAAGTCATATTATTACTACTAATACTTCTACGCTCTATTAACATTATCATCTACTCTTTTAACTAGCTTTCTCTAAAGACAGAATTTCACAGACCAAAGTAAATTCAGTACCAACTTTGAAGCATTCTGATGCCAGAAACTGTGTTTAATTCCTCAGAAATATTTTCAAAACCCAGGAGAGTATGCATGTTCATCTCCATTCAAACTGTTCTTCATAATCCAGATAATGAAGTTAACCAACTGCCTTTCAGGAAATATGTTTCTTTGAACTGGGCAAATGTCTTTTCCTACATATTACAGGCACAACCTATGTTTCTTTAGTTAAAGTCTTTGAAGCTAACTATCTTTACAATCACCTTAGAATTGTCTCTGAAACTTCTAGGGGTTAAACACCTATAATTACATTATTACCAAACAGCAGAAATTTAAAGATAGAGCCTTTTTGCTTAAGAAATAAAATAAAATTATAACAAGCATCATGTTTGAGATATACTGCAATATTGTGAGATCAGAAGGAAACCAGTGAGAGGAAACTAGATTAAGTCAGTTGATTAAATTAAAATGAACTGAGAGAATTTTATCTTTGATTCATGTCGTGTGCTAAATATAGCCATGACAGAATTCAAGTGAGAATTTAAAAGGACAATTAAAGGAAATCTTCATTAGTAAGAAATATGATAACAAAAATCATATCCATTTTGATGATTTTTACAGCAGTCGTTGTGATACAGGGGACTCCACCCTTCTCCTAATCATTAGCTATTGCTTAAGCCCATAGCTGTGGCAAAAGGTCAATACACATTTCCAATTCAACCCATGACTCCTGTTTCCAGTTGCTAATCTAGGCTCTTTGGCACAGATTATTTTCCATGTCTAGTCTCTGCCCAAACAGAGAAGATTTAGTCTACCTAGTACTATTAACAGTTTAAGGTCAGAGGTTGAGCACCACACAGCTGGAAATGAAGACTCAGGTGGGGCACCAAAAGTTTCTAGTAGAGCTTGAGTGCTGCCAGAAGTGTGGATGATGCAGCTCAGCCCATCCAGAACAACCCGAACTGGAACATGCAGCTCCCAAAGGCCACCCTGCACCTTCATTACCACCAAGCTATCTTACAGATCAAGTACTGAGACAGGTCTGGGGTACAAAGCTACCAGCCTGCCCTACTGCTGAAGAAAACGGTTCCCTGAAGAAGGCTGTAAAGGCACACAAGGCTTATCAGAACCCAGCCAAGCATTCTAGATTAAGTCAGCAAGGAAACAAAGTAAGAAACCACGATATGAGCACAGGAGGAGGGTGTCACTGACAAAGACAAGGAGGTGTGGTTACCTGCATAAACATTTGAGGATCATGTGAGTTCCTACAATCACCTTGAGCAAACTTCCTGCAAATAACTAGTTTAACTTATTTCCATAGCACTGGATTTGCAGCAAGTGGCTTTCCAGTAAGCTGTTTGCAGATCTTACCAGAAGCCCTCAGTTTGAGTTAAAAAACTATCTGCAAGTACACCAGTTTCTAGCACCTTGAATTGTTCTATAAAGGTAGAAACAGATGTGGCCAAAATTAAACAGAAAGGTGAAATTGATTGTTTAATGTCTTGGATAGATTTAAAGGAAACACAAGCAACATTCTGCTTAAGACCTGTATGTACAACTTGTACATTGCCCATATTTGAGTTCTGGGCAGTTATCTCATTCTTTCAGAGATTCCAGATGTGAATTTTCAGCTTATTCATAACATGAACAAATTAAACATTTATGAGCAAACTTCAGCTTTACTTGGTTTTACACTCCAAGCGACTTCCTGAAGAGATAGGAAACAGGAAGTTGGGGCAGGAAGAAAAGGGTCATTGATTTTATGTTTCAATGAGGGTAACAGGGTTTCAGTGTGGCAGATTAGCACTGTTGTTTGTTTTGGGGTGGAAAAAGGAGAAAACAGAGGGAGGAGAAATTCTTTAACAGTTCAATATTGTGAAGTGAACTACAGATCAAGACACTTGTAAAGTCATCACTTTGCAACTTGAAAGTTTTCCCCACATATCACACGGGATGAGATTGAGCATCACTTTATTACTCAATCTCAAATGCACAACATTTGGCAACCCCTGCATGTTTGTAAAAGAAGCATAAAGCAGAAGGTGAAGATCTACTTTGGACTTATTAGCATTCTGAATCTCAAACAAGCTACTGAAACCAAGTCAGGTATTGTGAAATGACAGCAATATGGTTTCATGCAGGATCATGTTCTGCAAATAACAGTGTTTAGGTATTTCCACTGGAATTAATACACTAAATCAACTAAAGCTAATTTAGTGTTGCTTATTTTAAATAATTTGATCACTTACAAGGATTAAATGACCATCTTTGTTCCAGTGGCACAATGTCAGAACATGCTGTCTACAGCGGGAGTTAAGAAAATACCTGGTATGTAATTGCTCTGTGGTTCAATCCCAGCTGGAAAGTTAGTGTTCTCAGGAATGGAATGGGTATAGTCATCCAGAGGCGGCAGCTCCGTTAGAATCTCAGTGTGCCGCGGCACAAGCACGGGAGGCAAGACTGGAAAGGCAAAATTCAAAAATCACTGGTAATGAAAATACACAATTTTATGAGCTAAAAGGAAAACAATAAATCTAAAAACATCTACGAGTTTCTTCAGACATTTTGAAATCTTCTGAAACTCAGCACTGCTAATAATACATTTGCACAGCTAGTTATTGGAAGAAATGGGATTCCTGAGGTGCCTTAAATAAGACTATTCCACATTAGCAAAGGTAAATCAACTTTTTTGTCCTATCCAGTCTGAATTGCACCTGGCCAGCTGGAAATTGCTAGCAGTCCTGGAGGTGTTTATAAACACATTTGTAAAGATTTTTCAGTAACTTTACTATTAAAAACTTTCAGGGATATGATCTCAAAAAGAATATTGTACTTCTACCAAGAGAGGACACCACCCTTCCCTTGTTTTTCATTTGAAACATTATGCTGAACAAACACAAATGGATTCTACCACAGGAAGTCAGAAGAAGTTCTCCTACCTGGTGTCTCCACTCTCTGGTAGTGGTAAGGGTTTACACATACTTCATCCTTTTTAAGATTAAAAGCATATTCACAGTTTTCAATTGCCTTAAGTTCATGGTGGCTGTGAAGGTCTGGCCAGCGCCACAGGCGGCAGTAAATGACATGAGGCAATCCCTTGCGGTGAGACACCTGCAGACGGCCATCAAGAGATCTGCAGGGGAAAGATGTGGAGAAGAGTTTACAGACTGAGTGCTGCCTCGATCACTCCAGCAACAGAATACACACATGGGTAGCTCATTCTCAGAATTCAGTGCATTGACTCTGCTAGTGACATCTATACTCTAATTAAAAGGCTTCAAATGCAATGAAAATGATCGTATCAAGCAATGTCAAACTCATTTTTGAGCTGCTCAAATTATTGCCAGTGAATTTAGAGTTCATTAAAAGCCCCTTACATCCAACCAAGTATTTAGAATGATTGCTTCATATACTTTTTTTTTAAATGCAGAAGACAGTTAAAAATAAAATCACACACTTAATGGTCCCTTCCACTTCTAAAGGTACCTCAAGGCTTTGCTGTGGCACGGATGCTTTATGGTTTTAAGCATAAGAACTCCCACAGGACTGCAAATAAGCCTATAAGCAGTCAGCTGCCCAAGTGATCCACATGGCAGTATAACTGCAATGCAAAACACATGAATGCACATCTTGTAAGGGCTGTACAGTTTATCTTCTTCATCTGCCTTGCTACCAGCTGAAAATGTTTTGCTAGTTTTAAGACAGACTGCATATGCTTACACAAATGCAGATGTTTATGATTGTTATGGGATGGGAGACAAACCTCAATACACAAATCAAGTAATGTGACATGAAAAAATAAAGACCCTATTTAGAATTTGCCCACCATTAAGTACTGAAGAATTTACAAACAATTCTTTAGTAGCTTGTATCTGAGCCAATTAGCAAGATTTAATTCAAAGCTTGTGGCATACAAAGCAGTTTAAACACTTTGTAAGATTAGGTCTATAGAATTAAGTTTTCCAATTTTGTTAATAAAAATACCAAATCACATTAGAGCTTGCATTTAACAAGTCTTCCCATTCTTTCAATAGCACTGGCATGAGAAAGGAGTAACAGTAGAATTAAGAATTTCATTGGTCAAAACATCAGCTGTGAACACACTGGTATCTACATTGGCAAAGAAATACTTCAAAATGCTATATCATGAGAGGCCTAGGAATCATTTTAGTCTATTTTACAGCTAAAGCATCCCATTACAGACCCTCCAAAGCCAATCCCTCCCACAAGATTTTTATGATGCGAGAGAGGGCAGAATATTCACCTGGTTTGTTCAGAGAAGCTGTAAAGGCCTGCTGTATCCCACTGATCTATCGTGTTTGGTGTACTCAGTCCCCAAATTTCAGAGCAAGTGCTGTGCATAAATTGAAAACAAAAACAAAAAATTGATATGAATATGGAACATGGTTATTCAAAACACCATGATGTCAAACATGGAAAAATGTACAGAATACTTCCTTTCACATAGAAGATAGAGCACTGTTAGAGCACTGGCATAGACTGACATCTCATGCTATATTTTCTATATGAAGGAGGCTATCAAAATGGAACAAGTGATTCAAGGTAAATGATAAATGTTTTTAAAGGTGAACAAGTTCTTGTTTTTTAAGTAATTAATACAGTTGCAATGTTCCTTAAAACAGGCAAAACTTCCTCAGCCTAGTTCTTTACAAAATTCAATTTTAAAAGGTAGTTTCTGGGTTGGGATTTTTTTTTTGTTTTTGTTTGTTTCTAAACATAAACTGCCCCAAGACTTCCAACAAAGGCCATGTGCATCCAAAACTGAAATTCACAATCTAAAGTTCAAGTATCACCACTTCAGCATTAAACTCAATTTCCACGCACACAGTAATTTCTTGCTATTCTGAAAAACAGAAATTCAAACTCTGAAGAAAAACACATTATAGCTGATATTTAGCTGTTTTCTGTAATCTTTGATTAAACAGCTAAATATTCTTTCACACAGTATGCGAAACAGAATGTTTTACACTGTAGTACCTTAAGATTCAACTATCACATAACAACTTTCATTGCTAAATCAAGTAGGAGAAAAGGAGAGACAACTCAGCCTTGACCAAACTGGTTCAAGGAGCAGATCACAATGGGAAAGATAAAGGAACATTCAGTCATAGACACAAACTAAAGCAGAGGCAAATTTAAATAAAGCAAGAAAACAGCATACGATTGTAAACAGGCACCAGACTTTCAGGAGCATAAACACAGATCAGCTCTATAACATACTTGCTCAGTGACCACTGAAAACAGATAGTTTATTTTATATAAGTAACATACAACTAAACCTCTCACTTCAGAAATTAATAGAATTTGTTTCACAAGCAACTTGAATCTCTGCTTCCTAATTATGCAGCCTGAAGCCTGGCTGGCTGCTGTATTACCTTTAAAATTAACAGCCTCCAAAAAGTTGCAACAGGAAGAATCCAAAATCACCAAACTTTTAAATGTAAGCGTTGTAACTGAAATTTAAATTATCAAGTTTAGCCAATACACTCAAGTTTGGACTGAATGCTTAAGAAAAGAAATGTGAGGATGGTGCTTTTATTTATTCTCATTACACAGGGAAAATTCATTAGTGTTACAAAACAAAAGAGCAGACAGCACGTCACTGGACTTGAGACCACTTTCAGGGCTGACAACCACCTCCGTTCCACAGCAACTTTTAATAAAACCTTAAGTGTTGGCAACTGGTGAAGGCAGTAATGGGCCTTGCTTCCTTCTTGCCTCTACCATAAATATCTCATTTCTGATACCATCCCAGTGAGGCCGAAATGTGCATGCCGGTGAGAAGCCACCCAAACCAATAAACTGGCTATCTGACCAGAGAACAAACATGGCTGAAAATACATGTTTTGAATTACTTCTCAGTCAGGTCATGTCTCTTCACTGTAGTTCATATGAGCAGTACAAAGAAGGAGAGTGTAACTGTAGGTGGCAACAGCCTGCTTTTATCACTAATAAATACATTAAATAAAATAAGGCTTTTTGGTATATTACTGATTATAAGTACAAGTAAAATCTTGTCCTAGATGAGTTTGACTAGTAGAGAGCAACAGAGAGCCAGAGATGAAGGGTCATTCTCTGGCACAGATCCAGCTCTTCAGAAAAGCCAACCATCCTGAACAAGTTGCATCCAGGTCGGACTAAAGCAGCATCACAGCTCTCCCGACCAAGTGGACAAGGAGGGATCCTGCCCATGGCTGCATCAGGAGGACTTGCAGCCTCTCTTCCACATTCCTAAGATGCAGTCAGAACTGGGGGCCGCCAGAAGCTTTGCAAGGATTGAAGTAGTTGCCCTGAAGACACATGGACACCAGGGAGCATCCCTGCACTGTACTGTGTCCTTAAATATACACCACTGCTGCTGCTAAGACAGATCATCTTTACATGCAATTAGAAGAACAATCAGCAGGCACAAAGCCTGCTGCATATTAATTGACACAGTGAGCTCTGACAGCTCACTACCTTTGAGCAATGGATCCTTCATACAAAGCAGTGCTCCAAAACTGTGGAGCTGTCACACAGATTACACGTTCCCAAAATTGTGGGGTGCATCGCCGGTGTAAGCATGACATGCCATGCACTTGGTTCACAAGGCTTTTAATACAGCACATGCAAAAGTAAAATTTCATAGCCCTTGATAAAACAAGATTACTAGGAACAGTATTTTATATTGGTAACCTCTTCTCCCTGTTAAGATTTAAAGCGGACAGCATATTCCACAGCCTACAGAAAGAAAAACAGTATCCTGAAGTGGACTGTGTGACAGAGCCACAGCTTGGAATGAAGCTCAAAGCACCATGAGGGGAGGACAGGCCAAGAGGCAAAGAAAAGTGATCAGTCAGAGCAGCAAAACTGCTCCGAAGTCACTCGTTTACATGACATGCTATCCTCTGGGATGGATATCTGCTTAGAGATGGAATTAGTATTAGTGTTTACTGTTTCATCTACACCAGGACTATAATTAAACTCCAATAATGCACAATCAAACAAAGAAGAAAGAGCCTGCAGGAAATCATTCCATATGATCAATGAAGTCAGCTCAACAAAGCTTTACTGTTTGCTGAAAGAAATAAAGAAATAAAGAGGCTTCTCTACTTCCTGCTGACATAAAAGATCCATTGCCTACAAGGTACAAGACCATCCCCTCACCACTTCACCCAGGCACTAAACCAAGACTTAAAATTCACACACACGCACACCAGATCAAAACTAAATTCCTCACAACCCTAAAAACTGTATTTCATACACAGTACTTCCATTAAAGGCTACAGTATGTTCATTCATACATAAGCCATGTCCTGACAGAGGGCAGGCACGTCTACTCATCCCTGAAAGGTGGTGCTGGAAAGATGACTGAATTCTAAAAGACGTTTTAGCCACCAGTAAAACCATCTGAAAATAAGACAGGAGGTACAGATTTTTAATAGTGCAGAATTACTGCCACAAAATAAACAGGAATCACTTACTCCTAAATCTACCTTTCTGAAGCATCCAAAATCTTGTGTGATGCAAAGAGTCCTTTCCATGCCTTAGTCCATAAAGGTTTCAGGAGAATCAAGTACTAACGTCTGTACTCATAAATCAAGCCACATCTGGAAATATTCCCAGGTCCTGGAACACGATCATGTATGCCAGAAAGCAGCTAGGACATCCCCCAGCACCAGGCTGTGCCAATTATTGTTCTCCCACACAATTCCCAGGTTTGTGAGCCACACAACATCGGGACCCAGTCACACTGCACAATTCAGATGCAGCTCCCCTGCTCTGCTAGCTAAGGGTTGAAGAGAATGGACAAGGCAGTCCTGAGCCAGTTGGACAGAGCCTGGGAATGTTCCCAGGCGCGTTTAATTTATTAGGAGGGAGGCAGCCAGACATATCACCATTTCACCTTCAGTAAGCGCTCAAGCTGAAGCCAGGAAGCACACTTCAGGCTTTGTATTTTACCAAACAAGGGGGTTTGGTTTTGAACTCGCTGTACACTGTATCACTGGTAAGCATCATTTTCAAAATATAATTTGGCTCCTGTGTCACTGTACCTAAATCTTTCCTGTGCAGACAGTGTTTAAATATACCCTAAAACACAAGTTCAAAGCTAATGTACTTCCTCTCTCCTGGACACTTTCATTCCAAAGAGCATTTTCACTGCTGCTCTCAAACCAATTTGTTGACAGAAACAAGTCAACAATACAAAAGCTAGTTTTTTATCTTTTCAACACTTTTCAACAATAGCTCCCAATAGCAAATCACCATGTTTTGTGGCCTTTAGCACTCCATGCTTGAATAGAAGATTGCCACTTTTGCAGTTCCCACAAGTAAGTGAATTTATGATAACAGACTCCAGGGATACAAAGCACCAATTCGGCTCAGCTTCCCAGGTGATGTGGAGGTCTAACAAGAGAAAACTATTTCGTAGAGAAAATAGTTTTCAAATAATATTTGCAAAGAATAAGAACTGCTCTTTGAGACCCAGGTACTTTTAGGGAAACCAAATCTAGCAGGTATGTGGCTAAACTGCTACACACTAAACCTGGGACAACTGGGGTTTGGGGCTCTTCAGAACTGACCAGAGGACTTATCTGGTAAAGAAAGGATCAGGCAAGTTTATACATGGTGGAAACAAAGCTACTTCTGTCAGAATCCTTCCTTGAATGGAAAGGGTTGCAAGAGCTGGCATTTCAACTTGACTTTTATCTGCTTATAAGGAGCATCATATCTCATATGATAGTGTGCAATTCTGGCAAGAAGAATCTTTAATGTGGCTATCAGCACACAACAGTACACAGTATGCCTTCACTTCTTCCATGTCATCATTTCCTTTAACAGGAAAATCTGAGCTCCTAGAAACCTATACTCGGGGCAAGAAATTACCTACACAGCAATGAGCTCTAGCAAGGCTTCACAATTTTCACACAAAATGCCAAAAATTGTCTGTCTTTCTTAAGTAAGACAGAAAACACTGATAGGCACAGAAGAAAAATGTGGACACAAGACAACTCCAATTATTGAAGACAATCTGCAAGTATTTGTATTGCCTTATCTATATGGCACAGATGATGTTCCTCAGTCATTTTTTCACTACCTTAGTGGAATAACAGATAACTCTAAGTCTACTACAAAAATTGGACTATCAAATCCTGGTAGAAATACAAATAAATTATTGATCTGCCCACTACAAATTAACATAGAAAACAGTTTGTGCTACACTCATGAGTAAGCAAAAAAAAGTTTTATTGTAGTGTACTTCAACCAGAGAAACAATGTCCCTATCAAAAATCAATAACAACAAAACCTACATGAATGAAATAGTTTAAAGAAATGCACTATACTGATCTTCAT